TAATAAACAATGAATTGTCATTTTTTGTTTATTTACTTTACGGTGCCCCCCCCTTTTTTTACCGGTGAGATGTCCGAAAGAAACACCGCCCATTAGTACTAGTAGTAGCTAAATTCTAATTATTATTCCATAGTCGATAAAATATAATGTAATATAGTCTTGAGTAAGGACTCACGTCATGGAAATAAAGACCAAGTTCAAATAAATCTACTTAAAATTAATTACCCCTTGTTTAAGAACACATTCTCCTGGTTTATGAATGAACGCTTTCCTGTCAATACAATTTTCGCAATCACAGCTAAGTCCCTAGTAATTTGCTACCAGTTATAAATGGTATTGTCTGGTGAACACCAAATACCCCATCATCCATGTAACTATGTCACTAATTTTACCAGATGGCGCTAATTTTTAATATAAAATTTCCAATAATTCCCTGAATGAGATTGTCTTAAAAGTACCACAAATGCATTTGTCGCGTAATATTTTCTTGCGTTTTACTAAGCTAGTTGATGCTATAAACCTGCGGTGTGAAGGGCAGTGGGACATTAGTATATTAATTGAGTTTAGGGGCGATGATGTACCTGGGGGGGGGGAATTAGCACTAATTGGGAATCTCATAAAGTGCGTTACTGGAATGCAGTTTTGTGAAGTAACTTTACTAAATGGGAAGTTCATTCATTTACGACTTCCATTGTTGGGCGGGCTATAGCCAGCAGTTATATAATATCATAGAATCGGGCATTTGAGGCTTCGAAACATTATCGTCTACCTTCAAAATTTTAACACGGTTATTTAAGTTTACATCTTAATACAACATAAAAGAATTTCTTCAAACTGTTTTAGAAATTCTGATTTTTTGTCACAGGAAAGAATCGAGTTTTGAAACCACAAAAAGCACTTTAGAAGTACCTGAAATTGAAAAAAGTGGGGCTTTACCCATTTTTTTTTCTAGTACAGTTTGTTAAATTGATTTTCTTTTAGTACACGAAGAGAGTTGTTGAATAAAACATGGCCTTTAAATAATGACATACGTCAAACTTTAATTTTAAAAAATAAGTTAATGGATACGCAATTTAATAAAATCCACTATCTCTTTTGTAATCGTTTTTTGGGTCATAACATATAACTGTTCAAAATCTATAGTAGTGGCCAGTTCTACACTCACTGAAGCAAATAACATACTTACCAAATGAGACTATTTCAACAAAAAAAAAAAAAAGGCTTAAACGTTTATATATATTTTTGTGAGCGTCAAGGAAGTCTAAATTTATAGAAAACATGTGCGGATGAAGCGTACTGAAATACATGTATTATGTTTTTTGGGTCATAACATATAACTGTTCAAAATCTATAGGAGTGGCCAGTTCTACACTCACTGAAGCAAAAAAAATACTTACCAAATGAGACTATTTCAACAAAAAAAAAAAAAAAGGCTTAAACGTTTATATATATTTTTGTGAGCGTCAAGGAAGTCTAAATTTATAGAAAACATGTGCGGATGAAGCGTACTGAAATACATGTATTACACAATTGAAAATTAAGGTATAGACTGTCTGAAGCCTTTCATTTGTTTTGTTCATTCTTTTATTGTTAAGTAAATCGAGAATCCCAAAAAACTGCGAATTCTGCAAGCAAAACGTCCTCTTTTGAACTAATTAATTATAAGGGACACCATTATAAAATGCGTGTATTTGCAAGTGTTGTGTTGAGCAAGAGTTGTATATCCTGCTGACGTAACATTGAATATTGTTGATTCTTGGGAAAGAGAAAATGACGAGAATTTGTGATTTGAATATTTATTTCCACAATTTTTTTAGATACAAAACCTTGTTTTTTGGGTCAACCGCCAATTTGACCAAAAAAAACACCAACAACTCAACATTACTCCACTTATTTACACCACTTTAGGCTAAATAATAGTAAATCAATCAGTTGAAAATTATTGCCCTTTTCATGAAATAATGACTTAATTGTCGTTCGTCCTTCGACAGCAAGGATGGCCAAGACTGGATTCGACTGTGAAGAAAGGATACCCGAAATAGCCGCAAATCTCAGGTCGACCCCAAAGCAGATGTGTCCTGTGTGCGGAGAAGCTTTCCCAGCTTAAATAGGACTAACAAGGTAAGAGACAAGTTTGACTTGGGCGGAGTTCTAAATTCATGCAAAATAGACCATTGGGTGCTCTTTTGCGTTTATATATACGTTTAATTATAACGCTTCATTCACATAATTGGTATGGATCGTATGCTTAGTCTATGGATGTTTTTATTGGTATTGTTCTCTACAATTTCCACACATACGCCTTAAAGGAACTCTTTGTGCTACTAAACCTCGACATTTTCGTTAGAACACGCTTTCTTATGGGTCGACATTTAAATGTTGCGTTTATCCGCAATTTTTATTTATCCGCTAGTTTTATACTTGGCCCAGTTCAAAAAACAATCGAACGAAATTTGAGCTACGTTTCGTATGATAATACAGCAGCAAGTATGGTTACAATGGGACTCCCAATATAGTAAAAATAATCTCCGAATATAACTTTACCATCTCAAGATCGTTAAATACCGTATTGCAACAGTAAATGAATAAACATACAGTATAATGTACACAATAATTATTCACAACGCATGTCAAATTCAGTTCACGACTCAAAGTAGATGACTGACTTTTATATATTTCTATACAGTGCATTACTGCAAAAATACAAATGTACCCGTCATTTGCCACTTTGATAGACGAAGAAGTGGTTGGAGAGAGAAATTGAGGACGCCCGCCGAGGTCACCTTAACAAAAGTAGAGGTAGGGTTTTAGCAGGTTGTTGTGCCCACTTCCCATATTAAAAAAAAATGAATTCAAAGCGAAGTGATGCACGTTTGCGTATAACTGAATACAGTTTTGCATCATTCCAGAGTCAATCGTAATGTTTTGGGAAAAACCATGTTCCTTTTACCTATCTTTGTTTACAAAAATCCTTTTTATTTTAGTAGTTAATAACCCATATTTAAAAAAAAAAGTATTTTAAACTGTTTTCAATCTTACTGCGCAAAATGGGTCGGGAACTGTCCGAAGAATTGATGTATAAAGATTAAAAAAAAATGGGCGTTAACGCCACAAAATAAAATAATCGTTGTTTGAAATTTGAATGAAGAAAAAAGTTCACTTGTGATACATCCGGCGTGCCACATGATTTAACGAGGCGGGCCGAGGGTTACCCACCCTGCATTGAGCCTGTGAGCCTGATTTTATGTCAAATACCATATTGTCTAAAACGACCTCAAAAATAATAATAGAAATATTACAATTCCCTACGATTATTCAATATTATTCACATTTGCTTTCGACAAAAGTTATGACCATGATGATGATAAATTAAAATGAATATCACAAATGGATGAATTAAATAAACCTAGGGTTCCGAGATTTTATTTTCTCATAAAATCTAAATAATAATATAAATATTATCATTCCCGTATTTTTTTTCACAGAACTATTTACATCTGCTTAGGTCTAATTTAAAATTTAATTTTTGGACATTTAAATTTAAGAACAAGTAGGACATGATGCAGCTGTGAGCAGTTTTCGAAGAGGATTAGTCATATAACATACGATGACAGCAAGACGTCAAGCAATGATGAATATCGGATTGCCGTCCTAATAGACAGACTTCTAGTAGATGAGGGAAAAACTCAATCACTACCGGTCGAAACCGAAAATAAACAGAAAGTTAACTTTTCGGTTTCCGTCAAAACCGAAGCTACGCCGAAACTGATCAAAATGGCAACTTTCGGCGCCGAAACGGAGACTGAAATTGTGTCAGTCGACCGATTCCGTGAGAGCTGTCCGTGAGAGCTGTCCGTGAGAGCTGTCCGTGAGAGCTGTCCGTGAGAGCTGTCCGTGAGAGCTGTCCGTGAGAGCTGTCCGTGAGAGCTGTCCGAGAGAGCTGTCCAAGCTAAGTGATCAGGTTTCTATTTCTAAAACTAAATTCTTTTCTATTGGTGGAAAATAAATCTCCAGATACTTTTGTTTTTCCCGTTACACTGTCATGGGAGTTAAGCTTTTGGGGCATATAACAGCCCCGAGTAAGTCGTTTTCATTGAACCGCTACGTACACACGGTTTCTAAGAGTTTGGTTCCATCAAATCTCGATCGACGTCTCAGTTATTAAATGTAGATTGATTATAGTCAGCCATTCTATGTTTCATTCGATTATCTTTGGTATGAAAAATGTTTGAACGCAAACAAAGTAATATCTTCCAATGAACTATTGTTTTAAAGCATGTTTCACGTGCAGTCCTCATGTCGTCGGCTTTGTTCAGGTTTTCAAGCGCAGTCCTCATGTCATCAGCGAAGTCCAGGACCAAAGCAATGATGTTACTGTCCATTATATTCGTTTTCCTTACCTTTGTTTTGTCAATTGAGCGAATCAGTAGCAAGTGAGAAGTGATTTAGTCAGAATGCGCCGCTGCTTACCTCCCGTCTCAACTTTAAAAAGTTCGCTTTGGCTGCCTTAATGGACGACACAACATTCGAATTTCTCTCTAAGTGATTTGATTTTTTGTTCGAAGAATGTCACAGTTTCTGAGAATCTTTCAAAGTAACGAACAGAATTTCAGAAAAAGGATGATACAAAGTGCATCTTAAGTTTATAAATTGCTCATTTATGATGCTCAATTATGAAAGGATAAATAAAACAAAATGTACACAGTAATAAAATAAGTTTTCCATTTTAAGGCATAATTTTTCTGGATTAAAATCTAATTTTATTTTAAAATTGACATATAAATTTTAATCTATTGCTACTTCTATTTCATATAGCCTACAGTTAATCCGGGAACCGATTCAAAAAATGGATGACATGCTCAACCACATAAGGCGGTGTAACCAAATTTTAACTCCCTAGAATAAGGGGAATTGGAATGAAAAATAACAACAAAACATTTTAAAATACAAGAAAGAGATTATTAAGTGTAGGGCTTAAACAATAAACCAACAAAGCCATTGAAAAGAAGATCGTTTAATCGCTCATGCTTCATGAAAATAAAAGTGAAAGTCATGCAATGGGAGGCATGGAATCAATAAAACATCACCGAAGGAACCAATATTTATTTTCTACACACGTAGTAGATACATTAATGAAAGCTTGTCAGACTTGTTAGCACAAAATGAAATAGTTTTCTATTTTTATTATAGATTTAAAATTATTTCTAACATTCTGAGTTAAGAATACATTGTCTACATTGATTCGAATAATGTATCAATTAGATAATTCACTACTGCATCCAGGAAGTCTGCATAGAAACTTTTTTTACAGTTGAAATGTGGTGGAATATGAAAATAAAATCAATTAAATCAGACATTTCAAACAAGGTATTTAATCAAAATTTATTGTATAAAACTGTTCATATATATTATTACATTTTTTTATAGACATATGTGACAAAAGTAATAGCACATAAATTACAAAATACTTTAAAATAATTATAACTCAGTATAACACCATCCTAATTGAGAGACATAATAGTCATTTAAAGTTTTGCGAAATGTTTCTATTTTAATTAAAATAATACTTTTCTGAATATTATACTTTCTAAGTCCTAATTGTTTCTATTTATGACAAATAATTATACAACTGAGCATAATACAACCACACTGCGGGAGAAATTACACATTTAATTTGTTGTAATGACTCAAGCAAAATTAATTAAATAAAAGTATTTTTTACTTTAACATCTAACAACGCATATATTTTCGTATATATTAATTTTATTTAAATAAAGGCCTTGACAGCGATAAAAAATAGTTGAAATTTAATAAAATATACAGGCTTATTCTTAGGTGAACACCATCAAATATGTCGAGCATAAAGATTCTCATTTTTCCGAAAGCTCCTCTCCTTTTAATTAGGGAAAGAAACCATTTACTACTCTTTAGATGAAAAAAAAAAGATAAACGAATTGATCGTGGGCCCCTCAAATATAAGTAGAAGAAGAAAAAAAATTAAAATGGAAATATCGCTTTATAAAAAATAATTTTGTTTATGTGCCAGGAGCTTACTTAAATTGTCCACCCCCAACCCCCAACCCAAAGAGAATCCTGAAAAAACACAATATGCGTCGTGTTTAATTGGAGAGTTCACTATGAATACAAGAAATAAAAAAAAATCAGTTTCAACATTTTATAATTTTTTGACAATTTAATAAATATATTGAAAAAAAAAATACAATTTCGATAATAGCTCGGTAATTATTCATATTTTTCAATCATTCAGATCATTAAATTCAGTGATTTTTCAAAGCATCTAAAACAAAATATCGTATCTTTATAGTTTTCATTAAAGTTAAAATAAGGGCGAAGGTGGGGGACAATTTCTATAACGTGGCGATTTATTTATCACTAAAATAGGGACCCTGAAAAATTCACTAGATAAATAATAAAGTAAAAGTCTAAAGAAAAATTAAAAATCGGTGGAAAAACGTCAGACATATAGCGCATGTTATGGAAATTCAATTTGTATCCCTGACCCCAAAGAATGTGAATTTTAAGAGTTCAAAACAATCCAGTTTTTTTTTTTCATTTTAAATTTTCAAGTGCATTTGTACAAATTTTCATCTTCATCTATCCATTTGCTTTATTTTTTGTTTACAGCTCATATAAGAAAAATCCCCATGAAAACGTAAGCTTTCCTATCAAAGCTAAATGATCACTAATCAAATAAATATTGTCACTAATGTCGTTCATTAATGGCGGATTTCTACGCTAAAGAAATACGTTAGATGTCTTGAGTTTAAATTGTTATAATGGTAAAATGTCTGGTAGAAAATTTTATTTATTTTGGAGCTGAAAATGAATGTGTACAATGTATGAAAAATTCCATGGTTTACCAATTAAAGACTCGTAAATTTCATTTTTAGGTTGGATCACGAACAAACATAATTTTAACAAATTGTTCCATTAAAATTAATTGGTTGACGTAGGCCCTCCACCTTTTTTAACAAAACAAGGTATATCTTATTTTTCATGAAATCCACCAATACTTTGAAAGCGTTCATGAAATATATTTTTACCAAGTTTGATCTATGCAACAAACTACGAATAAACTTTCATTATAACCCAAGCTTTTTGTAGGGCTATAGATTCCGCTATTGTGAGAAAAATACATTGTTGAAACTCCTACACACATTTGAAACTTTAAATCATATTTCCAAACATTTGAGGTAATCATAGAGACCTAAAGGAACATAAGAAACATGAATAGGAAAGTTAAAAAAACAATGTCTTTGAAACATTGCTGTCCTCATAAAATGCACCCATCCATTCAGGGACGTAATTTGACTAAAAAGCTGATTTTGGGCTAAATCACTAACTTACGATTGTTCTGCAGCCATTGAATTTGAAATTTAAAAAAAATATACCTTTACTCTTCAGCCACTACATTTTACGATTTATAAAATTAAAAACCTTGAGATTAACGGATTATAAACAAACTATCCAGGGCAAGAGGAATAACCATGTCAAATTGGAATTCGATACATTGTTTAGTTTTCTTGTGTTCGATTGACACATTACAAACATAGACTGAACATCATTTATATATTAGATAATTAAAAATCAACAAATCGACTGAAACTTGATGGTTGAGTGGTGAAAATGTGATTGTCGTTCAAACCACAGCAAATACAATATTATTTTTTTTTCCTTTCCCAAATTACCTTTAGAAATTCAAAACCCGTCAAGTGGATTTATTCCCCCTGTCCCCCAACTCGGCTCCTGAGTAGAATCTACTGCTTGAAAAAAAAGAGAGGCCCGGCTCAGGTAGGTGAATGTTTTCCATTTTTCGTTCAATAGAGCTTTGTTTTAATGTGTCTTCTGGAGATTTTATGGATTTCCTGAGTGAATGGTGCCAACGGTTAGGAATCTGACTTTGATTATGTGCAACTTGTGGATAATAGGGAGACAGGGGTTTTGAGTGATCGAAATAATGTTTTAATGGTCCGGGATTACCCATGAGGTAATCATCTGAAGTGGGGTGATATACGTTGGGGTGTGTTAGGAAGTGGCTAATATATTTGATTAATTCCGCTTCTTGTTCTAAGTTTACTAATACGTCAGTCGTATTATATTCCAACAGAACAACCCTGAAAGAGCAAGACTTGAACATTTCACTTATCAAACCTGTCTCTTGGCGGCACCATTCAGCTATTTCAATTTTTGTTTTATTTAAGCTTAATTTGCTCCCATCTATAAGAATCAAAATTCCCTTTTCTTTCAATGCGGGTAAGCATTGAGATTTCAATTCCTTCCAGTCAAGTTCATCATCATCTGAACTGTTGACACACGATTTAACAAGAAGTACAGCATTGTTTCTCTTTACATAAATTTCAGTTTTAGGATTATGTGAGTATTCCGTTGAAATTCCCATGTTCTCAATGCAGGATTTGGTAGAGGCCAAGGCTTCACTAGATTTTCCTATTAGCAAAACTTTATAAGAGTAGTTAAAATCATCTGAAAAAAAAAAAGAATTCAATCACTGTAAAAGGAAGTGTTCATAAAAGTAATAGAAAAAAAGTCTCACAAAAGAGCGAGATAAATAATATCTGGAGAATACTACTAGAAGTGACATATGTTTCAGTTCAACGTTGAGTTAAAAGAGGGTTGCTCTGCAATAAGACTTAATTCGAGGGGGAAAAAACACCTACTCAGTTGTGTTAATGAAAACTAAAATAAAACATTTTAATAACATGACCTTATCACTAAAATAATATATATATATATATATTATATGTATATATATATAAATATATTATATGTATATATACTATTTTTATGTATTAAAAAAAATAAGTCAATTAAAAAAGGTTAGTAATAATTTTTAACAAATTAAGAATGTCTAATCAATTTTTATAATGAGTGTTTGAAGTATGAAAGACAAGAACCAATCTCCGAGATTAAAATGAAGTTAGATCAACTTAAAAATAAGGTTGTACGCCTTTATTTTGTAAAACCTTTGCTTAAAACTAAAATAATAATAGCGATCGCTGTTTTTTTTTCCTGGATATAATGTCATCTCCAGGCACAAAAGCACTTATGAATGTTTCAATATTGTCACAATACGCAACAGACAAGTGAATACATGATATCAAAACAATTCAGGGACATAAAGCAGTCTATGTAAACTAACATTATTTGAAAAAAAAAAAACCATACAAATTAAACGTTTAGGCTAATACCTTCATCAGAACCACAGAGTAGCAAGGAATACGAGGGTAAATTAAATTGTACATACATTTTAAAGAACTTATGAATGTTTCAATATTGTAACAATACGAAACAGAAAAGTGAATACATGATATCAAAACAATTCAGGGACATAAAGCAGTCTATGTAAACTAACATTATTTGAAAAAAAAAAAACCATACAAATTAAACGTTTAGGCTAATACCTTCATCAGTACCACAGAGTAGCAAGGAATACGAGGGTAAATTAAATTGTACATACATTTTGCTGCAATGTCATTTCCTGTTTGATTGTAGGAGAGTTGCGAGAAATGGGCTGAACATTAGTCAAAGAATGCAGCTGGTGTTAACAAATATTAAGTTATAACCATTAAAATTTGGCAAATTAATGGCCAAGGGAAAAGATGATGTAGCTGGGCTCTCTAAAGAAGACGCAGCTAGAGACAGTGTTTCAGCTGGAACAGGTCTATCTGTTATAGCAATAGGCATAAAGTCTATATCTGTGTAAATTAAATGTCTCTATTTAGAGGCCAGACAATATATTTGATGTGGTCGCTGCTTTGGCGAAGGCGCCACCACTGAATGTCTGTCTGTCTGTCTGTCTGTCCATCTATCCATCCATCCATCCATCCATCCATCCATCCATCCATCCATCCATCCATCCATCCATCTATCCATCTATCCATCTATCCATCCGTCCGTCCGTCCGTCTGTCTGTCTCTCTATATATAATATAAGGCGCTGCGTAGTGTGTCAAATATCGGTATAGCTATTTTTTAGTGAGCGTATTTGGTTTAGAGATTATTTGTATAGATGTTTCTATGTAGTTTGCATTAGTGACGTTCATGGTAGAGATATGCTCCAATTGGTATAAGTCGAAATTTTAAAGGTTAATCGGGAAACCGAATGACAATTGAATATAGCATAACAGGCTTGAGAGAAAGATTAAACAATGTGCAAGTCGGAAGAAGCCACTGCCAGAGAAGAAATTGCTGCCGTTTTTTAAAGTGTGGATGTTGCATCCCTAGAAAAGCAGATATTTTGAAAATATATTAATCCTGAGTAGATTCTGTGACCCAATGTGATATCCTTGTTTTTTTCTCCGTATGAGGATTCAGGATAAGTCACAGAGCTAAAGAAGCTGTTGGTAAAGGAAATGTGTCCCAGCTTCAATGGCTTTCCTACGATTTTGCTATTCATAGTGGAAAATTTAAACAGGTCCAAAACGCAGGAATTCTTCCTCACCAATTCATTACCATGCCTATTGCAAGACTAAAGCAAAACGTTTGAATTGGTTTCGAAAAAATTAAAACACGATAAGAAGGCTGAAGGCTCTAATGTTCTACACCGAAATGTCAACAACCACAATTTTGAAGTTAGCATTTTTTCTTGAAAGAAAATTATATTATCTTCCAACTTAATGGGGAATTAAAGAAATACAGCTCTAAATTGCTATGGCCATGGTCTAGAAACATGGCAAACCTTACTTTTTTTATCGATTTTCAAAAAACGTGGTCTACATAGGCACATATTTATGACCCTGGAAGAAAAAACCTGGGAGAATGAAAGAATCGACAAAATTATATGGGTAAAACTCTCTGCTATGGACGCCCATCCGAGGCAAAATGAAATCGTAAAAGTCTGTTTGATACAAGTTCAATGTGGTCCCCATTAAATCCAAACACACCGTGTATGGGAAAACTACAAATGCACAAATGAATTCAAAAGAGATTTTTGTGTCGAGACCAAAATAGATGGTAATTCTTACCCAAAATATCAACCCCAAGATGAGGGTAACTGTGTTGTATTTAAGAAACCATGGTGGATAACAGATAGGTGTTGTCATACAACCCATCAGGATCGTCTTTAAAGTAGTTCAGGCTCTGGGCACAGTAATGCACTGAGGCCCCTTACCCTCTATATACTCATGACCGTAAGAATATAATTAAGCATTTTGATGTCGAGGGCAAGTTCTGACTTCATCGTACCAAACTAAACGAAAATCATTCTTTCGTTCCTAGAATATAGTCAAAATGCAAATCTGCGAGGAAAATCATAATTTTGTCCGTTAAAAAAGTCAATGTTTGTACTCAGCGCTTTTATTAGATTATAATGTGTCGGTACTGTAACTTTTATTGGGGAGGGAGAAGAGATCATGGGTGCCAACGAAACTGGGGGAAAGGTTTGGAGTGAGGTCTCAGTAAGCCCTTCCCTCGCAAATGTTTCTTAAATTCGAAATGATGGGATGCATTATGGCGCATTCGGGAGTTTAGTTTTCGATCATTTTACACGTAACCATCTAGCATCAGAAAAGAAGCTAGATAAATTTAGTTTCCCTTGACCACGCATGAGCAACACAATTCTTTTTTATTATTGGTCATATATAAATAGTAACGTTGTTTCGTAATTTTATTTGAAACTCTTTATTTGTTTTAACTAATTCAACGAATAAAAAAATCCGTTCAAAACAGTTGATTGTTACTATGAAAAGGGACAAACAAACTATTAATATGTCATTATAATTATCCTTTTTGATTTAATTAAAAACTTAAGAAGGCTTTCCCAAAATGTACAGTTTCAAATAAAGGAGAAAAACACTGTAGAAATTTACTACGAGACAGCATGAATTTCCAAAATAATGCAGCAAATCAAAAATTATTTTTAGAATTTCTGACTACTATAACTTTCTTCACTTAAATTACTAAATAAAGAAATTTTGTTTCCCTTTTGTAAGGCTCTTTGATTTACTCCTCCGCCAACCCTTCATCGAGAAACTGATTAATGGATCTTTAAATTGATAATTGATCAAAAGAATTTTTTTTTAACGCTAGAAGCAAAAAATTGTATTGACGTGAGAATAAAAAAAATCTGGTTTAAATATACCGGAGAAACGGTCTTGTCACTCTATAAAAGCAACATAAATATCCCGACATAGGTCAATATCCACTAATAATACTCATAATATTGGCAGCATAATGCTCCTAGAAATTTGAGGCCACCCAGAGACGGGAGGTTTTAAAGAGGCGTAAGGTTTCCAAGATGCATGATGTCCAATAGAGGAATGAGACCCCCCTGAGCATGATCATGAGGCCACCAAGAGGCGTGAGACCCTGGCCCAGTGCACATTGTGTACACATGCCTTATGACGGCACCGCTTTTATCCACTAATTTTACTACTGAGCAGTGGCGTAGCTAGGGTTATTACCGCCCGGGACTAACATATTAGTCTAACATGATTGTAAGCACACATTCTTACTTAGTTTTCTGTTAAATATCTGGCAGAACTAAAACTTGTTAACGAGAGTTGTTCCCTTTAAGAAGTATCCAACTTATGATTCGCATTATCATATTATTTTGGAATGTGCCAATAATATTGTGGGTTAAAATGGAGAAGTGCTGTCCACTGAATTTTAAATCAAAATAAATTTCCAAAATATTTCACCATTCATTAGCAATATGTAAAGCATAATGCCTCTAAAAGATGGGTCTCCTAGGAGCATGATGCCCTAGGCAAGTGCCCAGTGGGACCATATTTTAAGATGGCACTGCAACCTATACCTTTCTCTGAAATACATTAACATAGAGCTATGTAACTCGATTAAAGGTGTTAAATACATCTTCAAATACGCTTAGAACAAGCGACATGACTTTGAAATTATTCAGTTTAGTACTGTTCCCTCTGAACAGGACGTTACTATTAAATGAAACGAAGTAAAATAAATACTTAGTGACCCGATACGCAAGTGCACCAGAAGCATGCTTGGAAACCCCCGAAATTTGAGTTTAAAAAAAAAAATATTGCATTGTCAAAACTTTGAAATTAAAATAAAATGTATACTATCAAATAATGGCTTAAATTACTCCAAGAATGTCAAATAATTTTTTTGTTGATCCCATTGAAACAAAATTATGACTAATCTAATAAAAAATTAATTAAGAGGGCTATTATCTTAAAATATAACACATAATTTAAGCTTGGCATCGTTAACATTGAAAAAGTTTAACTTTTTTTGTTTCAAAACATAATTCAATTTAGCAAATTTAATAACAAAAAATTCGGAACTGACATTTCAGAACATTTTTCAAAATTGCATGACAATCGGTAGAAATGCATAGATAATTGATAATAAATTGTGATGCTTTGTATTTTATCATTTAATATTTGTACATTTCAATGGCAAAGAAAAATTTATTTTTTTAGGAGGGGGATATTTATACCAGTTATGTTACAGATGTTATATTCGGGATGTATTTTACTTAAAATTTATAACAATGTTTTTAAAAAAAAAATATGGACATTTACGTTGAACTATTATTGAAAAAATGTATACATTGTGTGGTAAAGTGAGTGGTACATTATGCAATCATTTATTTACTTTCTTCAGAAACCATATTTGAGGGAGAGGAAAAACTGTGTGTATTTTATATGGAAATCGAATCTTTCCACTTGACGAGATTCCAGTTGAGAAAAAGAAGTTTTAAATTTATTTTGAAAATGAATTAAAAAAATTAAATATTTTTAAAAATTATTATATTAAATTTATTTCTAAGTTAAAATAATAGGGCTAAAATTTTGAAGATTACATATATTTAATTAAAAATATAAGCAGATTTAGTTTATCACTTTTAAAATTATTAGATTTCCTTAAAAAAAAAGCAAAATTCACCATCATTATAAGAAGAAAAAAGAATCCCATTTTCCCCCCTCAAGTATGATGTTATCTTGAATGCATATTGGACACACATCAGCAAGCTGTTTGGTGCACTTTGGTTAATTTTATTTGTCTTTCTATTGCATTGAGCGCAATGAATCTACATTAGCTAATTTTTCATATATGTTGTATGTGTGTATGTGTATGTCTTATTCATCTACTTGAAAGCTATTTTGAAGTCCAACTAACTTATAATTAGTTATAGAGAAAATTACCTAGACTCACTTCAGAGTTACACGGTATTTGTTTAAATTTAAAATTCACATGAATTTTATGAATTACTGTTAACCAAATGCAAAGAAATTCTCACTAATCAAAGTAAGAAGACCGGGCTCTTCATAAAAGAAATGAACTTTTTTTTCGAAGCAGGACGTTTTGGCGCTGCCGTTTTGGCGCTGCCGTTTTGGCGCTACCGTTTTGGCGCTACCGTTTTGGCTCGACCCTTTTGGCGCAGGACATTTTGGTGCCATTTAAAAATAACTTTTTATTTAACTTAACGTTTATAACCGTCTGCACTAAACTTATCGAACACATAACAGTATCCTTCGTGATTCAACTTTTCTTTACCATGCCTCGATGTAACATTTTCCATTTTACTGGTTTAACAGAATTATAATAGGTGATATATTTATGAAACTACTTAACTTATGATTTTAGTCTAGAACACTCTTGCACTTTTATAAATGCGAAGCGCACGCATGATTAAGCAGGAACGGTCAATAATGGCTTAGGCCATCTGTGCGCCAAAATGACCTGCGCCAAAACGGCTCTGCGTCAAAACGGTGGCGCCAAAACGTTAGGTACCGGTTTTTTTTTATCCAGACTCTAGAATCTAGAGAGATTTTCAGACACAAAAAAATATTTTAAATTAGTATTTATTGACAAAATTCTTCCATTTATTTGGCTAATTTTGGAAAAACTTGTTTTTATTTTTATAAATCAATATACTTACGAAATCTGGAAGTACTTTCCATGGATTGGAGGGCATACTTTATGGTCTGCAAACTTTTCCATATCAATGTCTGCGTGCAGTCTTTAAAAAAAGAAAATTCTTCAAGTATTTTCAGCAACCTTCTATAATCAGTTAAAATGTGCAAACCTTCGAGATGAGTTTTCAATAACTTTAGCCCGTACTCTATGCACGTATCTTCGTTGAGACGCGAAGGCCTTGATTTCAAGCTTTCAACTGTTTCTAAAAGCGCTTTTAATTGTCCAGCCCTTTTCACTTTAGAAGTTGTGGTATTATCAAATACAATAACTCTTTTGTTGACCAATCTTTCCAACTGTCGATATTTTTCGACCCATTGGTAAGCAAAATCCTCTAGTTTTCTACCGGGGTTGTCAATTTGGAAACTGTCACCTCCTGTTATTAACAAAACACCAAAATGTTTTAATGCTTCATCTTTCACGCGTGCAACTGGCAAATGCTCATCTTCTCTTTTTCGAGTTCTTGAACAAATGTGAGTCTGCTTATAGAGCTTCTCATATTTGACAACATTTACAATAGCATCGAAACCATCTTTACATAACTTCAACGCTGCCATCATATCTTTTGGCATGCATGTGTATGATTCTACGACTGTTATTTTGGTATCACTTGCATCCAACAATGCAGAGCATTGAATATTTTGTGGCCTTGAATATGTTTTGTTCATTCCAGACTCAAAACTCCTCGTTTGCAGGATAGAATTTCCAGTTGCACTTTTCCCACTATGTCTTTCACCAATCAAAAGGAAGTTAAGGTCTTTGCTCATCTTTGCATCTTCTATAAGAAAAGAACAAATATGATGTTTATATTCTTACACCAAGCTACATAACAGTATATTCAAACATTAAAAGACACATTAAAATTTATGAATTTATGTCATTAAATTATAAAATTAAATAATACATTAATAGCTTTTAAATAACATCACCGTTATATATATATATATATCTATCTATATATATATATATATATATATATATATATATATATATATATATATATATATATATATAGGGTATTATTTTTTAATATTTTTAAAATATTTTTAATTATATATATATAAAGGGGATTACTTCTTAAAATTTTGAAAAGATTTTTAAAAAGGCAGTCTTTTCTGAGTTTAGACCAAATGTCACTTTTGTTCGCTCGTGAGATTTGACGGAAATCACAACTGAGTTCATACAAGCCCATTAAAAAACTCAGTTCTAGAAATAATGTTTTTAGGAATACTTTGCCACCAAGAAATGTTCTGTTTTGTATTGTTTGGGAAATAAGTAGTAAAATCAAACCTTTGCTTTCTTCAGCAAGATCCAAACTGGCTTGTGCTGTAATGTAAATAAATTCAAATTTACATGTTTGGTGAATTATAGTTTGGATTTCGGCATACTTATAAAAAATAACACTATGTCTTAAATCAACAAATTTTAGAATAGTAGTAGACTATGTTCAAACTAAAACAGTAAATAATTATTTGTTTGAATAGATAGTTAATCAAATCATTTTAAAGGATTTTATTTGATTAAATCATTTTTAAAAATTTAAAACTATTTTAAAAGCAGTTATATTTAGTAATTTTCAGATTTCAATTATATTTTTAAAGAAATTGTATAATTTTATACAGAAACATACACATCCACCAAAAAAAACAACAACAAATGAATAGCGTTGAATTGTGAATTCAAACTAAAGAAAAAACCCTCAAAACGGTAGCATCTATTAAATTAACTTGAGAAAACATCCATTCAAGAAATGAACGCAATTTATAATCCCAAGTAAGGCATTAAATTCTTTCAATTTTATATTTCCTGTTTATTAGAACACATCTTTGCGGCCAAACAAACATATATATCTATAGAATTCTTACTTGTGATATAATATTTTAAAAAATGTGAATATGAAAAGTTTTCGAGATTCACACGTTGCATGGATCTAGTAACATAATACATACCTTCGCTAGGTCCTTCATTTTCCAGCAGACTTCCACACGACTGGCAGGTCTTGACTATATCTTTAAGGGAACTTTTTACCTCTTCTTCGTTCACCGTTTCCTTCTTTAAACAATCACCCCATTCTGACATAAACTGGGCTAACTCTTCTTTTTGCTCAGTAAATTTTTCTTTCAATGTTTCTACTCTTCCTTTGATCTCATGATACGTATTTTCAACTTTTTCCAACTTCAAGTCGTCCTGTTCACATTCTGAAACAACCATGGCTATGTGACCCAGATCCTCTCTAGATATGTTGCTTTTTAAACTCTCACCAAAGACTTGTACCTTAGAGATTAGGGAATTCAAGTGAATGTTAAAGTCTGTTATTTGAAATGGAGAGTCTTGTGTTGCACCTGTTGGGACTGTCGCAACATTTAACTTTTGGTGTGTCAGCAGTTTTACCGTCCACCTAAAGCAAATTGTATCATCTTTTATAAAGTCTTTTATCTCTGCTCTTGTTCTGTCTAATTTGAAGATATATTCTTCAGGTTTTTCTTGGTGTAGTTTTTGAAAGTCCATGCCATTACGCTGTAGTTGAAGTGCCTGTTCTTTGTCTTCGTCAATAACATACAATTTCCATTCAACGTAGACCGGCCATATTGTATCAAAATTGACTTGGCTTTGTGATAAAATGATATATATAGAATAACAATCCTGACTCGATTTTTCAACACACGTTTTGACCTTAAAACCATGAAGTTCTCCTAAAACGTACTCCAGAGAGTAGTTTTTAAAATGAGGACTTTCCTCAAACTCTGATAAGTCAATGTCATGAACAATATACAGGTCATCATCATCTATTTCGTCAAGAAGGATGTATGACAGGGCTGTTGCACATTCTAGAAAGTCTTTCACGGCCATTATTAAGACCGCTGATTTGATACTGCGATAAATGAACTCATAAAATTAGGTACACACATTCACATTAATAATTGTCAGATAAAAAAAAGAAAAAAAAGAATGACCGTTGATTTTATACTGTCTTAAAAAAATATTGAAATGTCTTCAATAGAGTTTATACAGATGCAGTGCCTCTTTTTTGACATATTGTTCCAAAAGGGTGAGGGGCAGTGCATTTATCACCGCGAAAATTAGTAATCAGGGGAAACACTGTTTTTGGCGCCCTGCTTTACATAATCGCAATATCACCCAGTTGTGGCACCCCTGTGGTATGATTTTGGTCCCAGATTAGTTGAAATGTTTATAGACCAAATATAGCTACCTAATATATATACTATGAAGAAATAAAAATTCCTTAAAAAATGGATTGAAAGTATTTTAAAAATGTCAAACTAATATAACTTTATTCTGTTAAATTACAAAGTAATTAACATATGGTTTCTGATGTCAAACTATTGCATCTACTTTAATACATATTCCCCCCAAATAATCTACTTGGTAATTTAAAAGAAAAAAAAAAGAAGTAATGTTTTCAAAAGCTAAAAAAAAAAATATGATATTAATCGAAAAAACAACAACCTGATCTCGAGATGTTTAATTTTTAAATACATGCTTGAAAAATGGTGCCATTTGTCTCCTGGGCTGGTTGCCATATCTCTTATATAGACCAGACGGGATAATTTAAATGATGACTCATTATTGGACATCTACAAAGTCTATCTACACACTAGATTTCAATTGGTTTGAAAGTGTGACAAAAAAGGAAATTGAGTAGCCCTTAACAAAACAGAGTAAAGCTATAAACAAAATAAAATGGATTAAAATTCTCCTGTAAGAGGAACATTATTTTTTAAACATTTTTCCAAAAATAATTTCAAGGGCGTTGAATAGGATGAATATACTTAAACACCCAACTCCGATTAAGTGAAAGAAATCAACATTGGGTTTTAAGATGTGGGGTATCTAGTCCAAATTGAATTGTAAGTGAAAAGTGATGAGATAATAAAACATTTTATATATTAATTAATAAATATATAAGTTTGAAGTATTATACATTAAGAACAACTATAAAAGCGTGCTCCCCCCAGAAGTCACACAATCTAAATGAGAACTTATAAGTCCCTATTACGACTAAGAAAGTTCACTGAATTGCTGTTCTTATACAATAGAAGAATAATTTAATGTAGATGTCTTGTGCTTAAATTGCTTGAGTTGGAAAATGGGATATAATTAAAATATGTATTTATGTGCTGAAAATTTATATTTACAATGCAATAAAAACATTTCCATTTCTTTGGATCAATAAAAGAATCTAATCTTATCTTATTATAAAAGACTCTGGAAATATTTGCGGTATATTGCCAATAACATAACATAAAATCAAGTATAATGAATGAAATAAAAAAAAATCTTACCATCTATCTGCGACGAACAACCATGGCGGACTGCTTTAGTTCTACATATAAAAATAGCTTCCTTTTCAAAACATTGATATAATGTCATTGGCAAGCTGTTGATGTTACTAGTTCCGCAGGCACGTAGCCTACTGCGCATGTTCAAAACTCCGTGTGCTACTTTAGTGTAATCAATCTAATGTGTAGACCTTTTCCCTTGTGCAACTTGACGTTCCCGTTGTTTCTGTTATCGCAAGGCGAAGAAGGTGTGCGAACACAACAGGAGGTAAGCTACTATCATTTTATCAACATTACATTGAATGTACCTCAGGTTTTATTCAAACACAATTTTTAACGTCTTATGATTGCCGTTTTAAAACTGATTTAAACGTTTACCCGCACCCACCCCTTTCCCGCATTCATTTTAATTAAAATGCTTGTTGCCTGGTAGGATTAGTCTCAGCCAGAGCAGTAACTTAATGTGTCATGGCAGTATGCACCCGACGCTACAATCACATCGGATTCGTATTTCAACGATATTTTCGATATACTCATTGACATACGAGGTCGATTTTTCGTTACTTACATTAGACTCCAATTGCAAGAGATTCCATAAGAGTTTAATCCTTTTGAATTTAAATTATATATGTTTGAAAGAAAATATGGTTCATTACTGAGTTCAATGGCGCGTAAAATATAATTCCGGATAACTATGCTGAATGACCTATTTTTGTTATATAACGCAACTGCGTTTGGTGCGTTTCGGGAAAATGAAAAAGTCTCAATTTAAGTATGGTCTAAAAATATTTTCCTATAAAGTAAGAAAGATAAGATAAAATTCTTTTATTGAACCAAATAAATGGAAATGTTTTTGATTGCATTATATATCTTCAGCACATAAATAAAACAATTTGAAGACAAGACATTTATGATACATTATCTCAAACAGCCATTCAGTGAGTTCTCTTGTGTCCATGCTATTTTAACATGCTCAAAGCGCTCTGATGTCCTAAAATCTATTTACAGAAAAAATCTTTACATGTATTTTAAAAGACTTTTTATCATTTTCAATATCCCTCAAAGATTGAGGCAAATTTTCCATAATTTAGGTGCAATAGCTTCAAAAGAGCGCACCCCGTGTGACGTCTTTCTCTGCCCATTGACACTGGGAACTATTACTAAGGACTGTGTTGAAGGGCGCAGGTTTAGAAATCAGTAATTCAGGTGCAGAACCTTCTATTCAGCCGTACGCTTGGGAAAGAATTTTGTGGTCAATGCGCTCACTCACAGGAAACCAATGGAGATCTCTAAGAACTGGGGTGATATGGTCAATTTCTTTTAACGGGATACGATGCGCATTGCAATATTTCGTACCTTCTGGAGTCTCTGAATTTTGTTTTGATATAAACCCCATCAACACCTGTTACAGAGTGACAGCTACGCCATTGTCTGTTCTCTTATTATGTTGAGGACGCTGCTGACCCAGAGCTCGTAGATGACAGAAATAAGCCCGACCACATAACTTATATAACATTTTTTAGATACCTTGGCCTCTACACTGATGGTAGCCTTATGTTGGACAAGGGGTTTCAGAAGCACCAACTTTTATCGATGCGATAGCAACCTTTCGAAGATTGTAGTAGGGAGCTTTCAATCAGACACAGCAACAGCTGCAGCTAGCAATATTGTGCTTACAACAGTATGAGCTTACTTTTTTTTAAAAGTTATAAAGTTGTAGTTTATGCCTACCTAGTATGGTAGAGATAAAAGTTATGTACCATTCAGTTAAAATGTAGGCACAATGTAACAAAAAATCTATTTAAAACGTTAGCTTTTTTTTTCAGTCCGAAACGTTGCTTTGTTTGAAATATAGATCCAAGTAAATTGTCGGCTAATTTGATTTGGACCGAAATTCTTTTGTACGCGTCCCTAAGGCATCGACCATTGCTTTGCTACAGTTACCCTGTAATTTTTGTTTGTGCTTTTCCCACTACCGAATTCGGTCTGGTATGTTATAAACATTCGGTGTAATACGGATCCAATGTGATTATAGCCTGAGCAATGACTTACCCAACCAGACCTTAATTTTAAAAAAAAAATAATTCCGGTCAAACATCGTAGCACACGACAACTTTTGCCAGCTACCGAAACAGCCCACATTTTTTCTTAAAGCCTTTTTTTGGCCCAGAGCTTCACGGTGACTGAGCAGAGTTTTATAAGGTAAGGGAATACGGACAACCTAACAAGCGAAAATTCTTGAGGTAAAAAGGAAGTTAAACCCTCTTCTGAAATATAGAGCATAAAGGTCATTCCCATAAAAAAATCAGTGTATATTTGAATAATACAATTAGGTTTGCATAATAAATTTCGTAAATTAAGTAAAGGTTACTCTTACACAAAAATCACGTTTATTGAAAATCTATTTTTAAAAATATTTCTTTCATGTCATTACTTTAATTTTTAAAAAGTAATGTTAGTTAAATAAAATTCATTTTTTTTTATTCAATTCCTTAGACCTTATCTAAAGTCTGAGGTTATGGTTGTATGTGGGAAAAAACAATAAAAAAAACCCTTGTTTCATTTTTCACAGCCTGTGTCATTCAGGAAAAATAATCTCGAAATAAATTGCTTGTTTCTGATTAAACTTAAAAAAAAAAGACACTCGAGGCAGGCATTTTAAAAAAAAATGGAATATTCGGTTCTAGAACTCAAAAGAAATGTACAGATTTTATTAAAGTTTCTTGAAGAGAAAAAAGCAAAGCCAGTGACAATTCAGCCCCAGCCATACACCCACAGGGTAGATCGGCCCAAGGGACGATTGGATCAATATTATGAGACGACCACCCCTAGATACCAATTAAGTGATTTAGTCTACGACTGTACCGGAAGACTGAAATTCTACGGCGACAATATGCTTTATCTTTACCTCGAAGTTGAGGAGATGCCTCTTGACGATGAACTCCAATTGTCGACGGCTATGTTTTGGCCAGTCAATTGCACATGGAAAGTAGAAATACTTGATGATAATGATACCCGTAAGAAGCCTAAAGCTTTATTGTTGGGTGAAGCTTCCTGTATTTTTAACAAGCCTCGACAAGGACGTAAGTCTCATCCGAACGATTGGATTTCTTTTGACTTGGGGAAAATATCCCTTCCTTGTTCAATTACCTTTAGGTGGACTGTCACGATAGAGCCACTTTTGAATGGGGTTTGTGTGGAGGAGTTTCAAATATTGCTAGAAAAATTGGTGAAGACTTGTGACCGCTATGATGGATCAGAAACCTTGCTTAGTAGTTTGAAACAGAAAGTTGACAATCTTCTGATGAAAGAAGTTGAAAACGGTGAAAGGATATCAAATCTGAAAAGTGACATTTCACAAACAAATGAGGCGCTGAGCATCATTGAGGCAAAACAGGGAGAGTCTAAGGAGCTGTTCAAAACTTTTTCGCAAACAGTGTTCAGTTTGTTGAAAAAAAATAATGATTCGGTTTCAACTAATGTTTAGTACTAAAAAAATACAACCACTTAAATATTCTACATCTTGAATAATTTACATTGCCTTTTTTAAAAAAAATGTTAAAAAGCAACGCTTTTGGTTATAAAATGTATATTGTTTAATGAGCATATTCATGCTCATAGATCTAAAGAGGTTTAATCTAAGGAAGGTGAGCGAAATAAGAAGTACAATATTATTAAACAAGTAAAGTGGGAAAAAATTATGTTTATTTTCAAAATATTAATTATTCCATGAATTCATTCTATATGGAACTCATTACATGGAGAGACCCACTAACTAATTTTTAACAAAATTAAACTGCAAAATTTACTGATTTCGTACCAAGCCGTTATGCTGTTTTGCTTGTCAGTGTCATTAAATCTTTCTGTACACTCGAGGAAATTTCACTGCCCACGAGCAATTAGTGGCGTGCATTTTTTCCGTGGTACCCAACTTCATGGGGTGTGGACTAGACCAGTGGTCAGTAACTGAAATTTGGAGAACCAAATATGTTTAATGGCGTTCTTGGTACGGGAGCGCACTTTTGACTGTACCAAATACGTTTACACACAGAGTTCATGTTACCTGTAGGCAAGGTGGCATCTAGATTTCGGCAATCCTAAACATGACCTCACGAAAGAAGAACTATTTCCAGTGAGTTTTACAATAGTGGCCAAAGTACCATGGAAGGACTGTTAGTTCTCTTTTAAGTAACCAGCGGTTGTAAAAATTGTGATAATGATTGAGTGAACTTATCAAATCTTTGGATGCTTTTTTTTTCAATACAAATTCTTCTATGTGTAACACTTGCTTACCACATATGTCCCATATGAAAATATATACAACTTTATTATTATCATTTTATTAATAAAAAAATAATTCATTTTAAAATTATTGTTAACACGCAGATCACAATATATATTTTATATACAGCCCACTATAAATATATTAATTTAATGATGTACCCATCTGTTTAGCCACAAATAAAAATGAGCCATCATTAGCTGATTTCATTTAATTATTCTTATAATGCCAGCTCACCTGAGAATAAGTCCTCATCCCCCCCCCCTTTAATTATCTTATTTAACATCAATTTTTATTCTATGTATTCGGCTTTTGATTTTGAGTAATGTTATTATACAGGGTTGAAATAAAGTTGAAAAATGTTATTTTTCAATTACTTCGTTTCGTTTTATTTATCTATATCGTAATAATTATAAAAAAACCAAAAACAAATAACAACTTGTAAATGTTCATTTTTAATAAATTTGGCAAATCAACTTATTATGAAATATTTTTACTGTAATAAGCTAAAATAGATTGCGGAAATCTTCTAATAGAACATCATGGATTTCAGCTTGAGAAATCTCGTTACATTGTGGAAAGATGTCAATAAAGCATCCGGGTATTTCGTTTGGCCATTCTCTCGGCTGCTGTTCGGTGCTTCATGGTAAATGCGAGTCAGCACATTGGGTCTTAATCTAGACGGCAACATGTTTACAGCTTTACTTAATGAATTATTTTACCACAAAATTGTTACTGCTTTAAAAAGTATATACTAGCCAATATATCCGGCGTCGCCCGGGATTATATTCAGAAAAAAAACAACCATCCACCTTTACAGCCTTTTAGCTAACATTAAAATTAAGCAAAATGTAAA